CTCATAGCTTTTGCTTCTTGGTTCTTTGGAACATATTTAGAATACTTTAGTGCCAAAATTTTATCATTTTTCCTTAAAAGGACTTTAAAACACCATTTTACTGTATTCTTATATAATACAATATTTCATCTTGTGGATACTTTTTCTGAAGGAATGTATCTTCAATTTTATAGAGAAAATTGGTGGAAAATACAACCCAGCAGAATATGCATTTTTCTTATAACCTTTTCTAGAATACAGCACTTACATTCTATTACTTGAAGGTCTCTGAAGGACTTCACTTTTTTAGAGCAAATAGGAATGATTAGAGGAAGATACAGCAGTTGTTCCCTATCTCGTAACATATTGCAGAAGTGAAGAGGTGACTTTCATAATTATGAATTCATAAAATTTCCAGTTTTTATTTTGGACATATAAAAATATAGGTTGGTTGGACTCTGAAACTTTGAATAACAATAGAGGTCATTTTTTTTATAACTAGCCTCTTAAAATATGAATGTGACTTGAGCTTATGAGACTGTGATTTTCACAGTCTGGATAAACATACATAACCCTATTCTCCAGCATCTCCTTCCATCCCCTCACCCCATTTATCAGGCCATGTGCAGTGGGGAAAGTGGGACAGTCTCAGATTTCCACAGCATCATTTAACTCTGTAAAACCTACTATGCCTTTCAGTTTTTGAAACCTTATATTTTATACCACACTTAAAAGATAGCTGACTGACAAGAACAATTTAAAAATAGCAGACCATGGACAGGTGACAAAATGTCACGCTGGCAGCACCAGACTGCATTAACAAAAATCACCAGATGTCACACACTTGATTCTATTTTCACAGCTGATTAAGCAGCAGCAGTATTTGTTGGACAAAAGGAAGAAAAAAGAAATGGCCTCATCTGAATTTGGAATCCGTTTTTCTTTTGCTGTTATATATTTTCTCCTTCAAAATCTCATAATCACTATAAAATTTAAAATGCAAAATATATTAAGAAAAAACATAATCCTACTTTTAGAAAAGAATCTTTACACATAAGCACTCCTTAAACTGGAAGACTATAAATCAAAATGTTAACAGAGCTTGTCTTTAATTGATCTTATTTTTTGCATTTTTTTGTATCTAATCTTTCTCCAATGAAAATATATTGCATTTTGTAATCTAAACATTAATTTTTGAAGAGGTAAAGTAAGTAGCTTAAAGAAGCCATAAGTGTGGTTTTACTAGAAAGAATTTGCATTTAGTTGGGAAACATTGTATTTAAATAATTGGTTCTAATGGGTCTGGCATGACGCAGTTTCTTATAAAATCTTTTGTGGATGATGTTGATCCAGATAGCCACTGAAGTCAGAAAGACTAACAGAATCAGGGAGGATACCAGGAAAGGCAAAAAGTTTTCTGCTTTTCAGCAAATCCTGATGCCTTCATCTACAAAACGTTGCCTAAGGCTCTTTTTTTTTTTTTTTTGCTGCATCTTTAGAAAGATTGAATTGGAAGTCATCAGTGTGGGCTAGGAGACGATAATCAGAAAGCTACTGAGCTTCCTTTCAGTTTCATCTTTTCAAGCTGAAAACTCCTAAGACCTGGAAAGAGCCCCAAAAGGACTCAGCTTCTGGAGGACTGCAGAGAGGGGTACCCTTGAAGTGTGGGAACAGCAGTGGTTCCAGAAATATATAAAAACTATTATTTGATGTGGTGATTTTAAAACCACATAATTCTTTACCATAAACGATTGTAGCACAGTAAATAAAAGAAGTTTAATGAAGATCAGCTAAATTTGGGCTTGCTTCGTTTTTGTTTTTGTTTTAGAGGGGCGGGAAGGGCAGAGGGAGAAGGAGAGAGAGAATCCCAAGCAGGCTCCATGCTGAGCCTGGAGCCAGATGCCAGATGCGGGCCTCAGTCTCACGACCCTGAGGTCATGACCTGAGCCAAAATCAAGAGTCAAGGATGCCCAACCCACTGAGCCACCCAGGTGCCCCAAGGCTTGTTTAGTTTTCTTGATAACCCTTTATTATTTTAGGGGACACTCCTGGCTTTTTAGAAACCACACCCACGTCTGAATATTCCTTGGTCAGAGATTGAAGAGACCATCTCTGTAAGCCATTTCCTTCGGTTCTGCTGGGCAGTGATTTTGAACTCTTGTTGGGTTTTTAGGCATCCTTTCCAGTGACTGTCTATTTACTGTTAAATTTGGATATCTCAGAATACAATGAGTAAATCACATCTAGTTCTTATGGATGTTATTATTTGGTGGTAATGAATCCAAAATAAGGTCTTGATTATCTGAAAATAATAGAATATTCATACAGCTAACTAAAAACCACAATGTAAATTCTCCCTACTGAGCCATAAGCCTTATTCTCAGGACAAATTTTCCTGTTATAGGTTTTGATCAAGGTTGTGGTAGGAGGTAGCACTCGTTGCATATGGGGTAGACCATAATCTTTAGAGACTCTAAAATGACTTAGGAGCTGGAAAAACATAAGACACAGTAATTACATATATAGATACTGTTAAATGTGTCTTTAAACAATGGGTAGTTTCTGAAACTCCTCACAATTAGCTTCTAGTAAATATAAAAAGATCTATGAAATCAATAAAAAATAAAACAGGCAATTCTATTATTTAAAAAATGGTTCTTTACTAATAGGATGATTTTAAATATTCTAAAAAATAATTTTACTGTAATATAAATGCTAGCAAAGTAGTTTCCATAAAATTAGAGATAGATGTATGTAATGTCTTTCTCCTAATAAATTTAAAATAATAAAAACTAAAAATAATATTTATTGACAGTCCTATAATGCTTCATGGTAAAATTAGAATTATCTCCTTAGAATCCATCAATTGTTGATGATTTTTCCATTCTTAATTACTCTCTGTCTCTCTCATATACACACATACACACACACGCACCCAACAGTACAAGCAACATTACACTTATGAGAGTGTTTTTTTCCTTATCCCTTAATATGAAATGACCTTTCAATAATTACTGTGACCTGAGGGTTTTTAAGAGATTAGGATGGCCTTGTCTAGGCAAAAAATTGATTTGGCTGAGAATTCATTATTCCCCCTTTTTATTTGAAGCAAATGCTCTGTTTTAGCCACTGTGATTCTTCTCTTTTGGGCCAGAAGAGCTCCATAATGCTGTTTGCCTCCAGTACCCTACAACAGAGATTAATACCAAATGATGACTGACCTTTTTTTTTTTTTTTAATAATTTTTTTATTGTTAACCACCATACATTACATCATTAGTTTTTGATGCAGTGTTCCATGATTCATTGTTTGTGCATAACACCCAGTGCTCCACACAGAATGTGCCCTCTTTAATACCCATCACCAGGCTAACCCATCCCCCGACCCCCTCCCCTCTAGAACCCTCAGTTTGTTTTTCAGAGTCCATCGTCTCTAATGGTTCGTCTCCCCCTCCGACTTACTCCCCTTCATTCTTCCCCTCCTGCTCTCTTCTTCTTCTTCTTTTTTTTCTTAACATATATTGCATTATTTGTTTCAGAAGTACAGATCCGTGATTCCTCAGTCTTGTACAATTCACAGTGCTCACCATAGCACATACCCTGCCTGATGTCTATCACCCAGCCACCCAATCCCTCCCACCCCCCACCACTCCAGCAACCCTCAGTTTGTTTCCTGAGATTAAGAATTCCTCATATCAGTGAGGTCATATGATACATGTCTTTCTCTGACTGACTTATTTCACTCAGCATAACCCCCTCCAGTTCCATCCACGGATGACTGACCTTTTGCAATTATTTATAACGCTGTATTTGTCGTAAAAGTCAATCACTTCCATATCTCCAGCATTCTCTGTATCACCCCCCCATACTGTTGACATGTATTTAAACAGTAGTAATGACATAAAATTGACATTTTTCTGAGAATTTCATGATAACCTTTGATCTAATTGGACATGAAGACCTTTGCAGAACCAAGGTCATATGTATATTAGCTTTATACAGAAAGCACTGTATCAACAATTATTTTGTTGAAGAGCTTGGTCAAGAAAACTTAAATACATTTTTTTCCATATAAGGCTCTCTCTTTCATTATTCTTTAATATATCCACCTCCTTTAACCAAATAATTCATGAAAAACATACCAACTGTGTGCATCTTGCACTCTTAACCCTGGAGGCTATTCGTTAAAACATCTGTTTCAGACTTACCATCTTATAGACCAGAGGTTGGCAAACTTTTGTCTGTAAAGGGCCAGAGAGAAAATATTTTAGGCCTGTGGTCTCTGTCACATATTATTCTTTGTTTTTTAGTTTTTATTTTTACAACCCTTTAAAAATGTAAAAATGATCCTTAGCTCAGAGGTGTACAAAAACAGGCAGCCAGTGTGGGCAGACGTTTGAAACCTTACTATAAGAATGAAGGTCTGGAGATAAGCATTATGCCCAAGGTCATAAAACTAGTTAGTGGTAGGGAAAGCATAAGAACTCTAGATTTTTAGGCCAGTCGTTGTTCCCCACTATACCTAGTGTATAAATGTTACCATCTTTCTTCTGGTTGCCATTCTGATAATTATGTTGCATTTTTGAGCCACTGTGAAACATTTATCTTTTATTTCCTCTAAGCTTCAAGTTTATATACTTCTTTGAATTCATTATTTTGCTGCTTGAATTTGAAGGGCAGTATGAATGGTTGTTTAAATAAAATGCTTAATCCAATTAGCATGTTTAAATCGGAATGCGAGAGATGCTTTAAAATTTCAGTATATTGTAAGGGAAGCTTCTTTTTCATTTTGTTTTATTTATTTGTTATTGAGATTTTGGCTTTGTTTTTAAGATTTTTTTTTCATTTGTATGTTTTATGACTTGATTTAAAAACTGTTGTAACTGCTATGGCCTTGTTATAGATTATAGCATTGTTGTAGATTAATCTGTTTTAGCTTTTTATAATGTTTATCTTTTACAATGTTTTTGAAATTAAGCATTCTTTTCTTTGTGCTTAAAATAAAATTATTTTATTTTTTAGGACGCATGGGAATAAATTTCCATCATCCAGGAACAGATAATATTATGGCACTTAACAGTAAGTCTTCATATGAAATATTCTATAAAATTAGCAGTCAAGGTTACAGCATGTAATTTTCACTTTCTTAATTGTTCATTACATTTCAACCTTCCACTTAGTGCGGGATAGACCATTATTCTATCCCTGTGGTTCTCGAAGTGGGGTCCCTGGACCAGCAGCATCAGCATCATTTGGAAACTTAGTAAAAATGCAAAATCTCAGGCCCCATTACAGACCTGCTGCATCAGAAACTTTAATGATGGGGCTGAGAAATCTGGGTATTAACAAATTCTATAGGTGATTCTGATGCAGGCTAAAAGTTGAGAACTGCTACTCTATACTAGGGGTTGACAAACTACAGCCCTTTGAGCCAAATCTGGCCCATTGGCTGGTTTTACAGTTTTACTGAAACACAGCTACGCCCATTCATTTATTTTTTGTGCCACAAAGCTAGCTATTTTTGTGCCACAGTGGCAGAGTCCAAAAAGCCTGAACTGTTTACCGTCTGGCCCTTTACAGAAAAGTTTGCAGACCCCTGCTGCATACCTTTGGGGTGGGGGAAGGAAGGAGGAGAGGAAGAAAGGAGCCAGGTGAAGGGACAGAGGGAGTAAGGTAGAGAATGTGAATGAATAGATGAATTTATTTATATATAACTCAGACTTTTCTCATTTTGGTAGATAGCCAACAGGTGCTTCTAACTGGACTTCAGGGGTCTCCCATTAGTGGAATTTGTGTGGTATAGGTGGTCAGCAGCTTTGCAGGTTAGAAATGGTTTTGTCAGTGCAATTGTTGGATTGAGTTCTGGAGCATTAAAACCTAATTAACCAGAAAGTCGTTGTATAAGTTAATACTGGAAGAAATGTCTGGCTGGCATCAGTTCTTCTTCCTAGTGTCTGTGGACCAAATAGCTTTGCAAAACAGTCTCTAAATAGAAATTGTCAGTTGTCAGAAGAACCATAAAAGCCATTGAATCTCTCAGGACTTAGGTTTTTTTCTCTGTTAAATGAGTGACAACAAATTGCTCCCTGTCATCCTCCCAGATATACAGACTGACTGTGGATACACATGGGAGACATCCTGGGTAAATCTAGGGCTGTGTACAATATTAGTCCTTTCCTTCCTACCATTGGAGTTCCTTAGGGCAGATTTTACCTAAGTTATCTCTAAAATACGTATTCCGCATTTCTTTTGGTTCTGACATGTAGCCTGCCTTGTGGCGGCCACTGCTGAGAACCACTTGCAGAACTTGATGATGTAGGTCCTAATCCACTGCATGTGTATTTTGTTCTAAATAGCTAGTATTCCCGCTTTTGGAGGGTCTTGGAAACTGTAAAAATTCTAGACTATCCACCTCTATTTTCTAAGTTCTAAAAGAAAGGTCACTTTACCTTTAGATTATGGTACCTCTATTTTTTTTCCCTAGAATCAGGCACATTGGGGTGAGGATTAATAAACATGCTTAACTTGCTGAGCCTCAGCAATTTTGTGAAACTTCGTGCAAACACTTCAGTGAGAGGTGATGGGATCTAGAGTTGAATGTAAATGGAAAAAACAGTATGGTAGAATGTCTGCCTGAAAGGATGAGTGTGTATTTTAGAAAAGACCTGATTTGCTGTGGTATGAGTCCTCTTTCGCAAGAGGGAGAGGATATAATTTACCATTGTTCTGTGTATAAAATGAAGCTAAAAGACACTTTTCTTTCTAAAAGGTTTTGATTCTCTTTGATTTGATTCTCTTTGTTCTCTGCTTTTAAGTAAGATTTTGTTTATGTTCTTTCCAGTTTGTGCATGATGCTTAAATCCCCTTTTAGCTTCTAAATTTCCTTATCTGTAAGAGAAGGGGACTGAATTAGGTCATCTTTAATGATTGTTTTCAGAATGAAGATTCTGTGAGTCTGTAATATATTTTTATTTTCTTATTTTTACTTTCTACTTTTACTATTTTTTTTTTAAAGATTTTATTTATTTTTTGACAGAGAGAGGGAACACAGGTAGGGGGAGTGGGAGAGGGAGAAGCAGGCTTCCCGCGGAGCAGGGAGCCCGACACAGGGCTCGATCCCAGGACCCTGGGATCATGACCTGAGCCGAAGGCAGACGCTTAAGGACTGAGCCACCCAGGCGCCCCATCTACTTTTACTATTTTTTTTAAGTAAGCTCTACGCCCACCCAGTGTGGGGCTTGAACTCACGATCCTGAGATCAAGAGTCACATGCCCTACTGACTAAGCCAGCCAGGCGCCCCATGTAATATTTTCTTAAAGTACCAAAAGGGTCATTTTGCCAATATCTATATTAAATGTTGATGAGTTACGCATATTTACTACATTACGGCAAATATGAGAGTATATCTATCTTCAAATGACTCTGGGTGCTGCCCTGTAGGCTCCTCAGAGTAAACCATAAAAACAACCAGAATTTGACACTTGCTCTCTTTCAAAGTTGACTCCAACTTGAAATGATCAGAATAAACAAAATATCCTCCTTGCTAGATACTTGTGAGACCTACAGATTTTGACAGACTTGCTGTGATAAAGCTTTTCTTCCCTTTTGTGTGGTTGAGCCTAACTCATCCGGTGACTTACATGTGTGACACATGCACAAGCACATCTATGTATTGTCTTTCCTTTTATATCTACCATTTGTCGGCCCAACAGTTATTGTCCTGTGACTTGTTTGTCCTTCCTTCCCCTCAGCGTTCATATAGACATAATTGAAATCACTGAAACTTTATTGGTGCTTATTGAAAGGGACTGGGTTGAACTGTATTTTCAGACAAGAAGGGACTGGCTAATAAGAAAATTAAAGAGAATTGAATCAAGCTTAAATTAAAAAAAAAAATGTCAGTTATAGTTCCTTCTTTGTTACCCTTTTTTACTTTATTTTTCCCCTTTTTTTGCTTTACAAAATCTATGGTTCCTAATTCTGTACATAATGCTGCCATTCATTGTGTCTTCAAAAAACTTCCATCCTTATTTTATTTCCTTGACCTTACCAAACCAAAATCTCTTCCGAAGACACCATGTTCTAACCTCTCCTGACTTGAGGGGAATGACAGAGGTGCCATGGTGAGAATTCTCACTTCTCGGTACTACTTCCCAGCTTTGAATGAGCCAATTTCCCATGTTTTGGTGTTCTTAGAGCATGTCTTCCAGTTATACTTTCCTCTGAGAATCACTGCCACTGATGTCATCAAGAGGACAGAAAATGGGAGTGGAGGATAGGATACTAACTTTAGAAAACAGTAACCCTATAGACACGTAGGGTATGGAAGAACTAGCAAGATTTGTGTGAAACCAAAGAATCTGCTGATTTTTCCTATTCAAGACCATGAATCTAGTAAGAATTAACAGGCCCGCCTTTGGGGAGGAAACTAAGAGACACATCTAAATTTTGGCTTTTCCCCAAAATATTAGGTCCTTAAGCATTATGAAGTATGGAAGGGAAGATTGGGGGAAGAAATTCTGATCCATCAGTGAGACCTGCTACTTGTCTGGTATCTCCAAAATAAAATTAGTTCTGAAGCAATATGTCCCTTCCATTTAAACTGGTAATATATTTTTTCTTAACTTTGTAATAATTCTGTCCTTTCGTCTCTTCACATTTACATCAAAAACACTAGAAGTTTGCATAATGTATTTTTATTTTTCCTGCTGGAGGAGGAAGGAGGCTACTGAAAATGCTTCCGCCTATATATGTAGTAGTTCTATCAGATTTTTTCTAACACCAGCGGTACCTTTTGGTTTTGGTTTTGTTTTGTTAAACTCTTAGGTATGGAGTTGAGCTTAGCAGTTGTGGGCTTGTATAGGATTGATACCTGATTTTGATGATTTTTCCTCTATTATGATGATCCTCTGAAAAAGATATTGGTACCTCCATGATTAGTCAGGTGAACCAAATTTATGGTCAAATTAGTGTTCAAAACCAAAATGCCTGGTCTGGTAATTTACTCTAAGAGACAATCACTGCCAAGTGTATCTACTTTATGTTTCTTGACTGGTCAGCTCTTCTTTTTCCGAGTAGAGATTAGGCTGGAAAACCAGTTTAATATCAGAAAGTTCCTTGATGAGTATGAAATTGGATACAGGGAGAAGTATTGCTGAAGGGGTGGATCATTCAGCTTCAAGAAGGCATCCTCCAAGCAGGCTGGTAGGCATGCAGAACCTGAGGATGAAGCAGTAAATTAGCGTAGCCACGAAAAGCAGTTCTGCTTCTGTGCCTTACAAGCCATATGACCTTAGGGCCACATTCTTCACTCCTCTGCCTCTGGTTTCTTCCCTGGAAAATGGAGATAGTGATCACTCAAGTGGCCATATATAAATCTTGTAAAGCTTAGCATAGTGCCTGACTAGGAAATAATACTCTGGTGAGCTGCTGTTGTGATTGCTTGCATCAGCTTTATTGCTGCCTTTTAAAGATTTTTTTTTTTCCTTGTGTGTGCCTTCCCAAACATGAGTCTATGTTATATTGGTTGTTTTTAAATAGATGTTTTCCTGATGTGATTTAAGGCAGCACACCTACAAGTCGCTCATAAGCTACACTGACTGTACCAGGGTACAATGCCACTTCTTTTTTTATGAATCTTTTTTTTGGTATGAAATGCCTCTGCGTCTGTCCCCTGACTTTGGGACATGCACCTTCTTTGGGGCCTAGAGTTGCTCCATCTCTAGTGACATTTGGCACCTTAAAGGTGCCATACTGTAACGTTTGTAATGTAAAATGGTATAGTCGTTTTAGGCTACATTTTGGCAGTTTCTTAAAAAGTTAAACATACGCACACACAAAGTTAAACATACACCTACCATATGATGCAGCAGTTCTGCTCCTAGGAATTTACTTAAGAGCAAACATGAAAATGTATGTCCATATAAAGATTGTATGCACATGTTCAAAGCAGCATTATTCATGATTGCCAAAATTATAAATCATCCAAATGTGTCTCAGTTGGAGAATGGATAAACAAATTGTGGTACATTGATACAATGGAATACTTTCAGCAATAGAAGGAAGTGAACTATTGATA